TTATACAGTTTACTGGTTTCACTTTTAACACTAAGCTTGTTGTCACTTTAGTGTTCTCCTGAGTGCTGTGAGTGGAGAGGACACTCAGGATCGTACCGATCGCCTGCTGCTCACTCCTTGGGTGAAGTTCTTGTGGGAGTCCTACCGCCAGTGCTTGGACCTGCTGAGGAACAACTCCAAGGTGGAGCGCCTGTACCATGACATCGCCCAGCAAGGTATTGACACACATGGAATAATAATAATAATAATAATAATAATACATGGGACTTTTATAGCGCTTTTCATGAAACTCAAAGACGCTTTGAATACTTTTTTATTAAGGATGTTTTGTTTGCATTACATTTTATATTGTCTAAATTGCTACCATATGTCCAAATGGTAACCTATGTAAAAAAAATGGCATCAGCACCAATTTTTAAATAAAAAACTTTCTCATAAATCAAAACGACTAATTCAATAGGTTTCATTATGAAATAAACATTTTAATATTTCATGTGAAAACTGCTTTTATCTATATGGTTTTTATAAGATTATACCAAGTTATGAATATATTCAAATGTACTCAAAAAGAAAATGATGAAATAGAAATTCAGCCATACATTAAATGTTGAATGTTACAAACTAAATGCTGATAATGACTGGTAATCTTTTTTGCAGCATTCAAGTTCTGCCTACAGTACACCCGTAAAGCAGAATTTCGCAAGCTGTGTGACAATCTGCGTATGCATCTGGGTCAAATCCAGCGCCACCACAACCAGAGCACGGCCATCAACCTGAACAACCCAGAGAGTCAGTCCATGCACCTGGAGACTCGCCTGGTGCAGCTGGACAGTGCCATCAGCATGGAGCTCTGGCAGGTCTGTACACCATACACTGATTTTGTCTCAAGGGATTAATACAACTTATAATATAAAGTGTATGCTCTGTATGAAAACCAAAAGGCAGTATAGTAAATACATGTCTTCCAGTGTATTGACAAATGTGACATACTAGAAGTGAAGCATTTATAACAATGTAGTACTGTTTGTCTTTTTCCAGGAAGCATTCAAGGCTGTTGAAGACATCCATGGCCTGTTTGCCCTTTCCAAGAAGCCTCCCAAGCCCCAGTTGATGGCCAACTACTACAACAAGGTGTCGACTGTGTTCTGGAAATCTGGAAACGCTCTCTTCCACGCCTGCACCCTCCACCGGCTCTATCACCTCTCAAGAGAGATGCGTAAGAATCTGACCCAAGATGAGATGCAGAGGTATTTTATTTACTATCCGTGTACATATTCTGCTTTTGGTAGTAAACAAATGGTTAATGATGCTTACTTTGGATCTTCAGGATGTCCACCAGAGTCCTCCTGGCCACGCTGTCTATCCCCATCACCCCCGAGCGCACAGACATTGCTCGGCTGCTGGACATGGATGGCATCATTGTTGAAAAACAACGCCGGCTGGCCACCCTCCTGGGCCTGCAGTCTCCACCAACCCGGCAGAGTCTCATCAATGATATGGTACAGCATCTGCATTTGAAAGCTTTGTTATGTATTCTAGGTTTCAACAGTGTTCCTCAAACCTTTTTTAGTAGGTACAAACAAAACTCTTAATTGTTTGCTTTTGTGATGAGTAAAATGGTTTGAAATGTGTCTTTAACCTGATCTTGTAAGGCTGTTAGTACATATTGCTAATACATTTTTATTCTAGGTGAGATTTAACTTGCTGCAGTATGTTGTACCCGAAGTGAAAGAACTGTACAACTGGCTCGAGGTAGACTTTCACCCTCTGAAGCTGAGCGGACGAATGACCAAGGTAAACATTTTGCAACAACCAGCTTTATAATACGGACATTATACAATACATTTTTGTCATTTTAGTTGCAGTTCATTTACAAAACTTTTGGATTAATTGATTGTAGTTGGTCATGTATCATTAAAGCACATGTTAACACACGTATTATCCCACCAGGTGCTGAACTGGGTGAGAGACCAGTCTGAGAAGGAGTCTGATCTGCAGCACTATGTCCCTCACCTGCAGGGTAATACCATCCTGAGGCTCCTGCAACAGGTACGGTAATTCACTTCACTCTTCAGGGCTGGAAATTATAAATGGCCCGCTGGCCCGTAAGCACTATTTAGACACCCCGGGCCAGCATAATGTACTTTCCACTTGCCCGCTCGGGCCACTAAAAATATTGCTTTAAAAGAATTGTCCTGTGGTATTGGTATTTTGACTAGCAATTTAGTTGAATTGTTTCGTTTATCAACGCTACAACATAGCGTTTTGTGAGGCGGTTGTCGTTGTTGGGTGAAAAGCAAACAGCTGTTTGCTGCGGAGCGCACTACAGACTTTCTCGCC